GTACCATAGAGGTGGCACTCACCATCACAGTACCATAGAGGAGGCACTCACCATCACAGTACCATAGAGGTGGCACTCACCATCACAGTACCATAGAGGAGGCACTCACCATCACAGTACCATAGAGGCGGCACTCACCATCACAGTACCATAGAGGCGGCTCTCACTATCACAGTACCATAGAGGTGGCACTCACCATCACAGTACCATAGAGGTGGCACTCACCTTAAAGCCTGTCCGCTTCGCATGCCTAGGGAAGCACCCCATGGAGGTTTTTTGTGGCATGATGCTGTGAGTTCAGTGCAGATCCTGCTTGGTCAAACACAAAGGTAGGATACTTCACAGCTAGATCAAGCATGAATGGAATGATTGCACATGCCTGTCATTCTGTACATTAAACCCGGAATTCACAAACACCTGCTATGGCTTCACATCTCAGACCATGTTTGCCACCCTTTTATTATAGTATAATGTAAAAGATGTTGTGTATATGTGCATAATAGAACATGATTGAAAGTTCCAAAGTGGTGAATGTTACTATATTGTTTCACTGGGTTTAATATCAGCAACTGGTTATGAATGCTGAATTGTTATTTTTGCAAAACATCTAATTCTTTTGAAGGATAATTGTGAATTAGACTGCCCTTTGCAACTAAAGACCAGACCAATAATATCAAACACACCAAAAAGTCATGCTTTTTACACTAGCCTTTAAATGCTAGCATGTTGTGGCATTTAACCTGCACTAACTGGGGCATGAATGATACATAAATCTTTTCAAATTGGATGATACGGATGACTTTTTTAGTAACATCAGTTCACCTTGGCTCTAAACCAATACGAAAATAATGGAAACATCTTAAATACTGCACAAATACACAGGATATACTCAGATTCAAGCAGGTTTATTGATAGTACAACAAAGAAAACACAATATGTGCAGTGTTTGTCATTCTGAACTGTACCTCGGGTAACTTAGTCCTACCGTTTTTTTGGACTTTATAATATTAATAACAAAAATTGATCAGCTAATTTTGAGTATATTATGTGCTTCCAGAGAAATGTTACTATCTGCTATGCATTTGACTGCAGCTGTCATACAAAATAAAGGTATCACTGGATTTTAACTTACCTTGATGCAGACCTCTATGGTGAATCTCTGAGTTAGTCAGCGCTCTTCTTGATGCCTCTGAACCTAACACGCCAAAACCTGCACCGTACCTTACTAATAAACCAGGTGATTATCAACACCAATCTTCCATGGAACTGGCCTGAGTCCATCATCATGGATGCCAGCCAGCCAGTTCATGTCCTCTTCACACTCCTGGGAAGCGCTATCAGTGCATCAGCACCCGCATCTCCCACCTCAGAAACATCTTAATTCCACAAGCCTTCAGGTCAATAAACAATTGGTGACTGGTACCTGTCCACCCCACAACGAATATTGCATTGCACTGTTCTATTCTGTCATTGTAGTTCCTGCCGCACTTCCTTATACTTTATGCTATATTACTGTCAGTTTGCACAGTCTGCAAAGATGCCTTATCCACATATTACACTACCTATGTATTAACATGCCTCTAATTTTTATCTTGCGTGGCCTTGTCTTGCACTGTTTTGGCTTGTATTGCACTGCCGTTAGTCATATCGCTCGCCATGCTCGTGATGTTGCTATTGTTTAAATGAGCAAGAAATTTGATGCTAAAACTAAAACAGCATCATATAACTCACAAGTTACATTCACTCAGTAGCATGATGGCTAAGGTCCTGTACCAAAATGTTTAAGTTTGAATTTTTGTAAAAGTTATCTTGGTCTTTAGAAAGTTGTACTTCAGCCTGTTAAGGTCAGTTGCAACCAGCTTACCGATTTAGTTTGTATGGGCTGGCTAAAGTCTTATTTATGCTCAATGTTAAATATGTATATGGATGATCTTCTGACTGTACTGTGCATCCATTTTGTCCATAATTGCGCAAATTTTCTGAAAGCTTATAGATATGGAGAAAATGGAGCAGTACCCCTGGAAACTGTGGGGGGGGGGGTAGTGTAGGCAACAGCTCAAGCAAAACACTATGCGAGACACAACAAAAATATTTTAAATGCTGGAACATTTTGATGACCAACTCTGCAATTTGGTGTGAAATCTTAAACACCTATATGATGCTACTTCGCCCAGCCACGGAAACGAACATTGCGTGACTGCCAGAGTTCAGTAATTCAGGTCCAGAGGGGAAAAATTCAGAATGGGATTTTGTTTCAACCATCCAGTTGAGTACTCTGTGATTGTGACTCTTTATGCGCAACTGGTTGGTTGAAACAAAATCCCGGTCTGGACTTTTACTCTCTGGACCTGAATTGCACAACTCTGATAGCTGCTAGGAGGAGACTGAATGGGAATGCCAGTTGGATGATAGCAAAGGTAAAGTGGAGGTCTGTCAAAAACTTTTGACTCTCCTGCCCTCTAGTGGAGGTGTTACGTAACATCTATGCTAATTTAAAGTACAGTCAGCAGTGCTGGTAACATTGTTTGAATCGGCGTCGGGGAAACACCCCACGTGGCCGGATCGCTGTCGGGGAAACACCCCACGTGGCCGGATCGCCGTCGGGGAAACACCCCACGTGGCCGGATCGCCGTCGGGGAAACACCCCACGTGGCCGGATCGCCGTCGGGGAAACACCCCAAGTGGCCATAGTGCCGTCAGGGAAACACCCCTCGTGGCCGTAGTGCCATAACTGATGCTCCCTCACAATGCAGGTAATATGCCTCATTTGAGACTTCCTGAGCGACCACCCATTCTACACAAAGTGAAACCAGCGGTACTCAAGGATTCTCTAAAGAGAGACAGTACCGAAGGAGTCCAGTCTTCGTCTCAAGTCAATGAATACCGTCCATGTTTCACAGCCATACAGCAAAACAGAGAGCACTAGGACTTTAAAGACTTTGACCTCGACAGTGCCATTCATGTTTGGGATCGCCAAACACCCCTTTCCAGTGACCTTATGACTTAATAGGAAAACCAGAAACATGAATGTCACTGTCGAGGTAAGTGAACCTCTTAACGAGGTCGACACTCTCTCCTTAGACAGACACACAGCTGACGGCTGTGCCCAAGAGGTCATTAAAGGCCTGGATCTTGTTTTTTATCCAGGACATTCACAAACCCAGACACTGAAACTCCTCGGTCAGTCTCTTGAGAGTCCCAATCATAGGGTCAATTGACTACAGCATCATTGGCAAAGTCAAGATCAGTGAATCTTTCTTCACCAACAGATGCCCCACAGCTGCTCGACCCCACAGCCCTGCCCAACATCCAGTCTGTGCAAGCATTGAACAGAGCAGGAGCAAGAACACACCCCTGGAAAACCCCAGAATCAACTGGGAGAACGCAGAGGTTCTGCCTCCACTCTGCACAGCACTCACAGTACCTGTGTAAAGACCGGCCATGACATCCAGTAACTTCGGGGGGATCCTGCGAAGTCTCAGGATGTCCGACAGGGCAGCTCAATCAACTGAGTGGAATACTTTACAAAAATCGACAAAGGCTGCAAAGAAACTCTGCCGATATTTGCGTTTGCGCTCGATGAGAACCGATCAATGGTAGTGCCAGGACCGCTGAAGCACAACATGAAGAGAAGCAAGTATACGTGGTAAACTCGGGGTTTATTAGAAGGAGAACACAATCAGGGGCACAGAAAAATGCCAGCGACTCCAAGACTTTAATGACAAGACTGGGGAAAGACTAACTGGGAAGCACTTAAATACACAGACTCGATTGGACAAGACTAGGAACGGCTGGTAATCAAGAGGATTCCACACGTAGTTAATGAGTGGGCGTAGCACACAGGAGGAGCAGCACGATCGGGACCAGGCTGCTCCAGTCGCTGGTAGGCGAGCAAGTGATCATGGATCTGTTGAGGATGAGGCTAGCATCTCTGTGAAGGTATCTGCTTTGGTTTTATATATACTCCCATGCAAACATAAGTTGGCAATTGTCTTAACTTCATTTGTGCAGCCCTTGTTAATTTATGCAACTTGATACTGGAATTACATGGATCACTTACTATCCTTCAGCCATTAAAAATCAGATATTGATATTAATAGCAAACAGACCCTAGTTTGAACCACATACCCCGTCCCAGATGAAATTAAGTTTTACTCAACAGGGGGTCACCCTTATTTATTCTCATTGCATAATGGTGACATCATGAAATGTCCCTGCAGTCCTCTTGAAGACTCCAGTGTTCCATTGCCTTCACCTGTGACTACTTATGATCCCTATTTAAGCTCTACCTGTTTGTCATTCTGTGCTCGATCTTGATCTAGCTTTGCTTGATGCAAGTACTTCTTGAGGGTTGTGCAGCTCAGTGCATTTTGAGTGGTTTTTGCCCTTGTTTTATGTTTCATATTCTCTACGTCCTTCATCTTCCTCACTTAAGCGTCTCTGCTACTAAGCTCTGCTTCAATCCTCAGTCAGTCTGGAATATATGTTTTGTTTATACATGTTAAAAAAATAAAAAAAATACACATCATCTTGTCAAGGGAATCGGATTAGGTCAGTGTTATCTACAAAGCAATGTCACCCCTGAGCTCAAATCAGTCTGTATGTGGGAATAAAACAAGACACAGAAGTCAGTTAATTTGGTTTTATTTTATATTCAACAGGCTTTATGAAAGTAGAATTTAATGAAACAAAAGAATGATTCTGTACAGTTCCAGTCCACAGAAATAAAATTTATCTAAAACAAAATCTGTCAATAAAGGACACTACTAGGAATATTCCCGTATCTTCCAAAGGCTTATCATTATGGTTTATTGTTATCATTAATGTTTATTATAATCATACACTAGCTAAAGGTAAAAACAATGACAAATACATGAAAAGATCAAACATTTATTTATTTAACAGATTCTTTTGTCTAGAGCAATTTTTAAGTGAGGAAATCTTGGGGTTATACAGTGAGATCGTACAGCGAGGTCAGCCAGTGGGGTCATACAGGGCGGTAAACCAGCAGGGTTGTACAGCGAGATCGTACAGCGGGGTCAATCAGCGGGGTCAGCCAGTGGGGTCAATCAGCGGGGTCATACAGTGGGGTCAATCAGCGGGGTCAGCCAGTGGGGTCAATCAGCGGGGTCAGCCAGTGGGGTCAATCAGTGGGGTCATACAGTGGGGTCAATCAGCGGGGTCAGCCAGTGGGGTTGTACAGCAGGCTCGTAAAGTGGGGTTGTAGAGTGAGATCGTAAAGTGGGCTCGTACAGTGAGGTCGTACAGCGGCCTCGTACAGTGGGGTCGTACAGTGAGGTCGTACAGCAGCCTCGTACAGTGGGGTCGTACAGTGAGGTCGTACAGCGGGCTTGTACAGCGGGGTCGTACAGTGAGGTCGTACAGCGGGCTCGTACAGTGAGATCGTACAGTGGGCTCGTAAAGTGGGCTCGTACAGCGGGCTCGTACAGTGGGCTCATACAGCGAGGTCGTACAGCGGGCTCGTACAGCGAGGTCGTACAGTGGGCTCGTACAGCGAGGTCGTACAGCGAGGTCGTAGAGCGGGCTCGTACAGCAGGGTCGTACAGCGAGGTCGTACAGCGGGCTCGTACAGCGAGGTCGTACAGCGGGGCCAGCCAGTATCCCTGAAATGAATGGGGTTAAGGGCCTTAGTCAAGGACCCAACTGTGATATAATAACTCCATCAGTTATGGCATTTGCAAGAGAATCTAAAGACGATGGAGTGGAGTTCAAACGCAAGAGACAGGGGTACTGCTGCAGGAAGTGAACCACAAACGATCTGTAATATTTGGTAGCATCAGTAGTGGTAGCATCAGCAAGGACAGCGATCCCACCACCCCTAAAGGCTTGTACACAATAAATGTATCAATCTCTTCACAGACAGTCCCTGTTATAAAAACTAGCAGTATGTCGAGTCAGATCCAAAATGACTAAACAGACACACATTTACTCCTCACTAAAAATGAGATCATATTTTCACTGATTGCTGTTTCTGTGCTGGGTGGCTATTTAGTGCTGCTTTTTTTCATTTTTTCATCCAGGTCTGTTGAAGTTTTTTCCAGCGTTTTTTGCTTTTCTTTCTTCACCTCCTCTTTTTCTTGCAGAACCTCATTGTTTTTCTTCTTGCTGCCCTTTCTGGCCTTCATGAACATCTCGTTGGTGTAATGGCCTCCTCCATTCTTTTTTATCATCTCCTCTATCTTGTCCAGCAAATCTGTGACCTGATTGGCATTCCATACATCTTTATTGTTGAAGACAAAGTATCCACCCTGGCATTTTTTAATGAATTCATTAAGCTTTTTATCACCGCTAAGAAATCGGTCAGCAGCGTCACCCAGAACGTCCCCATGTGTGAACAGCACCATGGTGTATTGAGCTGATTCTGGGCCAAAAACCTCCTGGATGATGTTCAGTGTTTCCTGCTCTTCTTGTGTGAATCTGCCCACCTGCAGCAGCACCAGGAATGCATGAGGCCCAGGAGCACACAGGGAAATACACTCTTTGATCTTCTTTATGAGATCATCCTTGCTCAGCTTCGTGTTAAACAGGCCTGGAGTGTCCACCACTGACATCTTTCTCCCACAGGCTTTGCCTCTGGCTTTAGCACAGCTCATTGTTACAGAGTAGTTGCTGACTTCTGACTTAAACTCTTTCCTGCCCAGGATGGTGTTTCCAGTTGCACTCTTCCCCACTCCAGTTCTTCCTAACAGCACAATTCTCAGCTCATGCCCTGTGGAATAACAACCTTCATTACCTCCATTGTAATTATAACTCCAGAAGATACAAAAAATATTACGTGTGCAGTTTGTTCTTATTAAGTTCTATAGCAGTTAATAATCATGTAACAATTTATGATTTTAGGTTAACTTAGCTCATGGTAAGACTTCCAGACATACAGGTGTGGTCTTACTTGTGCAGGTTTGGACGGTGACAGGTTCACTCTTGAGATCGGTGTCTTTCAGCATAGTGCAAACAGAGAGGCTGCACTCCGCTCCTGGGCTCAGGCCGGACAGGACAACTTCGTTCTCATCAGTGATGATGGAACGGCTCTGGCCCGAGCTGCTGTCCGTCCACGTCACATTGTAACTGTGTGAAATGCCATCCATCCCTTTTGGCTTGTCCCAGGTGAGGTTGACAGTGTTTGTACCCAGAGAGTTGATGTTAAGTTTACTGGGTGGAGAGTGTGCTTTGGGAAACAAAATTCGTCCATGTTTATAGTACTGTTAGCCATTGTATAAATGATGCCTACAAAATGTCAACTATTAAGCCTCTTAATATGTACCAAATAATAAGTATTGCCCTCTACACAATTACTCACTTAATAAACTACTATAAATGAGTGTTGCAAATAACACTTCATTTTAAACCAGCATAACAGCTGTCTGTGTTTCCATTTTTGCAGAATTTATAGGTATTTGAAAACAAATTCATTGGAGATGTTTAGGGCATAAATGCATTGACATCATTATTGGGAGTGTATGTGTGTCTTTATAATAGAATACTACTGATAACAGGCAATTATACTGATTAAAACAATTTTCAGAGAGTAATGTCAGCATAAGTGGAAATTAGCGGGAGAACATTTTAAAACAAATTTGAGGAAGCACTTCTTTACACAGCGTGTAGTTAGAGTATGGAATAGTCTTCCTGCTAGTGTAGTGGAAGCTAAAACCCTGGGTTCCTTTAAATCAGAGCTAGATAAGATTTTAACAACTCTGAGCTATTAGCTAAGTTCTCCCCAAACGAGCTTGATGGGCCGAATGGCCTCCTCTCGTTTGTAAATTTCTTATGTTCTTATGTTCTTATGAA